TTTTGAATTTGTTTTTTATCATTTTTTCATTTTGGTGCGTATCGATTGGTTTATGCTTTACGTACCTGAAGAGACAATCGGGCCAAATTTTATAAATAAAGATATCTGATATAATCACAAACAAATATGATTGAAAGCAAGCTAACTTGAGATGTCTTGATGAAAGCGCACGATACCTGCACTGTTAAAAACAACTACAATTTCTTATGACTTCTCCATAACCCACGTTTCTTCAAAAACACATTAAACACACAAATAAAAATCTCCATCTACGTTACAAAACTCAAATCCACAATAAGAAATCGAAAAACAGGAGAAAAAAACAGAAAACGCACTTTCAGGCTACGTGGCAACTCCCCCCAGCCAGGAATTTCTTAGGTCTTCAGGTAAGTCTCGAGTCAGTAAGCTGTAGCTTGGGTGGGTTGTAAGGTGCACTTTACGCTGGGGTTAATGCCTATATAACACTAAAAAAAAAGGCAACGGTAGACGAGTGGATACTAGATATATATAATACATACCCATAGTGCTGGGAGAAAGTGTTTGTGTCTTGGATATACCGTCGCATGAACATACGGAACGACTGAAGAACATCTTTCAAAACCAAGGTAAGCTCTCAATTTTTATTTCCGCGATCTTAGATGGGACTTATAAGATGCAAGTGTTTATTTCTCATGGTTTCCACCGTTCTCTAGACTGAGGTAAATGACTTAGAAACCGATAGGACGCGCTGGTTTGAACTTAGACAACCGAAAAGTCTGTTTTTTTTTTACGGAAATAGACAGAAACGCCATCGCGGAGACTCCAACACTACCTGAAGCAATGATCCAACTCGAGATGCCGATTACTCCCTATGAACCTCCTTTTATCTACGCGCAACGCCATTCAAAACCAAAGAAAAACTCGCATATTAATAGAAAACAAGAAGATTCAAAATAGGAAAGATTACATAGGAGAAAAAGGACAGTGAGATGAAAAGGAGAGATTTAATTTTTTCACCAGCTGGCACCCCTCGAGTCGCCACACACCCGCCTATTGCCGGTCATTTCATCGGTCAAGTGTTCGGTCGACTTGCCAGGTGTATTGCCTCGATTTCCGCCAAGCTGAGGCGACTTTTGAGGTGACCGGTGTTCCATTTTTTACCGTTTTATGAGAAATGTAAAACTCAACAATTTAAAAAAAATCGTTGATGTATTTTATTTGGGGAAGTTTGTAGCCTTCTTTTTTCTACGCTAAGTTATTTCATCTTGTGGTTGTATGGGGCTTCCTATGGTCATAAAATACAAGAGATCAGTAGGGTATGTTTGGGCACCTGACCGGCAGCGCGGAAGGTCAGTGTAAACCTCTTAAGGGGGGCGGGGGACATGGGGAGGTGGGGAGGGAGGAGGAGGAGGAGGAAGATTAAGGGAGGAGAGAGGGAGGAGGGGGAGGGGTGCTATAGTACCTGCTGGTTCTAGGCGTGGAAAGGAAGGAGGGAGGAGGGGGGGTAGGGGGAGAGAAGGGGGAAGCGACGCTATGTCCAGGTCGGTCATTCGGTCAGTTAGTTTAATAAGGGGGGGGGGGGGAGGCAGAGGTAAGGCGTTGTGAGACATTACATTATGTTTATTTATGGTGTTTTGAAGTGTTCTGGGAAATTATTGGGTTGTTTGTCGCTCTTGATGGTTTTGGGTGGGAAAGGCTTGGCACTGTTTACAGGTACCGTAATTGTAAAAGAGTAGCATACATACTGACATACATAAACATGCGCACATACATACACACATATATATACGCAAGGTCTATATAAGTACTTATATAGACCTTATACGCATACACATACCCATACACACATAGCCTACATGCACATACCCATACGCACATAGCCTACATGTACGTATGGACACTCTCTATCTATCTATCTGTCTCTCCATCTCTCATTCTCATTCTCCCTCTCTCTCACCCATCTTTTCTCTCTCCCCCGTCTCTCTTTCTCTCTCACTCACTCCCCTTCCACCTCACCTTATTCTCTCTCTCTCTCTCTCTCTCTCTCTCTCTCTCTCTCTCTCTCTCTCTCTCTCTCTCTCTCTCCCCTCTCTCTCCCCCCCTCCCCCTCTCCCTCTCCCTCCCTCCCTCTCCCTCCCTCTCCCTCCCTCCCTCCCTCCCTCCCTCCCTCCCTCCCCTCTCTCTTCTCTCTCTCTTCCCCTCCCTCCCTCTCTCTTTCTCTCTCTCTTCCCCTCCCCTCCCTCCCCCCCCCCCCCCCTCTCTCTCTCTCTCTCTCTCTCTCTCTCTCTCTCTCTCTCTCTCTCTCTCTCTCTCTCTCTCTCTCTCTCTCTCCCTCTCTCTCTCCCCCCTCTCCCCTCTCTCCCTCTCTCCCTCTCCCCTCTCTCCCTCTCTTCTCCTCCCTCTCCCCACAATTAAGCTGTAAATACTTCCTTCTAGCAAAGTTGCACGTCTGTCCCTTCCCCTTGATAAATAAATGGCCAGACTAGACTTCTAAAGCGTGAATTATACAAGGTCAGCAAGAAACTGGATAAAGAAAAGGAGATAAGGAAAGAACAGAAAAATATAATATTTAGGGATTCTAAAAGAATGTAATTTTTTATATAGAAATGTATATTCTATGTGGAATTTTAAAGGACAGTGATTTTTTTTTTTTTTGCATATAGACGTCTCTATTCTATGTGGATTCTAAAAGACGGTGATTTTCCTCCTTAGCTGCAAGGAAAGGCTGGTCTCCCCGATACATTATTGTTTACCCAAAAGGCATCTACGTATAGCGGAATAGAAGACTGTATGTTGTAATAGGAAATACCAAAGGAGCTCAGGAGCGTTTTCTCTTCTGAATCACTAGCATACTCCGAATTCAGGTGACAAATAGCACATCCTGATTGCTATTGGCCACGTCGAGGTCTTTGAATATGTTGTGGAGATTTTACTGTTATGTAGGAAAAACAGCAGTAATGATATGGAGATTTGGGTGCTTAGGCCTGATTTCCATCCTTAGATCAACTGAAAATCAGTCGATGAAAAGAACTGAAGAAGACAGTACATTTTATTAACCGGAAATGATAATACATTTTACCGTGCTTTAAAAACGTCTTGGGAAAAAAAATACTATACACGCAACAGGTACTTCCTTATTGGTGGCATGGGTTTGCAGGGTCGGGGGGGGGAGGGGGGGTTGGGGGGAGACCCGACCTGAGTCCACTGGGATATTTGGGTCAAGAACGCAGCCAGCCGCCCACTGTCGAATTATACACCAGTGGGCGTGGAGACTTTCTGATCATCTATATTCGTGACGTGTCATCGAGAGCGTCTGTGAGGTGTTTTAAGCTTGTGTCGAATTGAAAATAATTATATGTTTGATGTATGAAAGCCAAACCCAACTAGTGTGAGTTATAAAGTGAAACTGTTTTTGTTTTTTCAACTAGAAGATTCATTCTCGTCTTATTCTTCTTAGTTATATATTGGTGGATAGAAATTATATTAAGCTAGACGATGAATAAATGTGTTGTTATTGGTCTCTTTCTTTCTTTCTCTCTTTCTTTTTTTCTTTCTCTTCTTTCTTTCTTTCTTTCTTTCTCTTTCTCCTTTCTTTCTCTCTTTCTTTCTTTCTCTCTTTCTTTCTTTCTTTGTCTCTCTCTCTCTCTTTCTTTGTCTCTCTCTCGCTCTCTCTTTCTCTTTCTCTCTCTCTCTCTCTCTCTCTCTCTCTCTCTCTCTCTCTCTCTCTCTCTCTCTCTCTCTCTCTCTCTCTCTCTCACACACACACACACACACACGCCGGTACATAATGAGGGAATTGAGACAACTGTTTCATAATGCATTCCCATTAACGAGCTTGACCTATACGATGGAATTCGGCTTCAAAAGTACCGACTCAGGTAACCCAGTACACCTGCGTCGACACCAGCCGATTCCCACATACCAAACACGCAATCAAGTTGTAAACAAGGAAGGGAAATGGGGCGGAGAGTGTGTGTGTGGGGGGGGGGGGGGAAATATGTATTGATTCATTCAGTAGTTTTACTCTTTAGGGTAATCGAGCGAAGATCTAGGGAGGCTCAGAGTTTGAATCCTTCCCCCGCGAGGACCGACTTGAAACCGGCTCTCAGGATGGTCAGGTGTCGCGGGCCGGGGCAGGTCCTAGTACAGGCCCCTAGTGCAGGTTCTCTTGCCCCCGTCTGCCGCCTTCCTACAGTGCCTTCGTCACTCTCACGCCTCCGTCTCCTGTGCGGCGACAACTTCCCACGGCGATGTTCATTCAGTGTTTTTGTGTGAGGGGGCGTGTCCGTGCATGCGTTCTGATGTGTTTCGGATTTCTGTTTACGTGTGTACGTGTATATTTGTGTGTATTCGTATACACACGTGAGTATATATATTCATACACGTGGACGAATATTCACACGCGTAGATATATACATGCACACTCACTCTCTGTCTCTGTCTCTCTCTCTCTCTCTCTCTCTCTCTCTCTCTCTCTCTCTCTCTCTCTCTCTCTCTCTCTCTCTCTCTCTCTCTCTCTCTCTCTCCCTCGCACACACACACACACACTCTCTCTCTCTCACTCACTCTCACTCACTCACAAAACAAATAGCCATTTACAATTATTTAAATCACAAAAACATTTTATGTCGCTTCAAACGCATTCACGCACATAAAAAGGGCTATGTATAATTAACTTACCATGTCACAGGAACCTTGTATTGCAGCGTACACGTATATAACATACAAACGTTCTTACTTACTTAAACGTACTCTCCACCCGTTGAGGAAAAAAAAAACGTTCGCTTCGGTCATCGTTATTCCCATTCACCGGAAGTAAAATTTGCATACTTGTAATGGATTAATTAGAGAGTTCATTGACAAGCGAAATTGCTCGGGAGACGAGAGAGAAGTTGACGTATTCATTGGGAAAGAATGGATGTCATTATGAAAGCCGTTATTTTTGTGACTGTCTTTTTTTAATTAGTTTTCATTTTATTCCCATCTGTTTTCTCTCTCTCTCTCTCTCTCTCTCTCTCTCTCTCTCTCTCTCTCTCTCTCTCTCTCTCTCTCTCTCTCTCTGATAAGATTCTCTTCCTTGCATCATTTTTATTCATATCCCGTTTATAATTATTCTCTTTCTCCCAAAGTTCTCCCTCTCTTTTTTTCCTTTCTCCCTTTTCCATTGTTTTTCGATACCCGGTATGCATGTGAATGAGAAATGGACGAGACAACAGCTGTGTGTGTGTGTGTGCGTGTGCGTGTGCGTGTGCGTGTGCGTGTGTGTGTGTGTGTGTGTGTGTGTGTGTGTGTGTGTGTGTGTGTGTGTACATTAAGATTTTCATAATATTTTTTCCCTTATCCTTTCTACTTATCATATTCTCTTTTCTTCCACAGCTCCCCCCTCCATTGCGTTTTTTTTATATTCTCTCATTCTTTTCCGATATTCATGAAAACAGAGAAATGGACGAAATACCCTGTACCGGAGAGTCACAGTCAGCGACGTCGGTTGAGCCAAAAAAAAAGACGTGAACTGAATTAATTGTGACAAAGATTTGAGTGAAAAAAATGTATGAATGAGAATGAATGTTTTTATCCATCCATTTTTACCCATTTATCCAGCTTTTGCACTGTGAAGATATTTATT